TGTAAGTCATTATAATGAGAACGTTTATTAATATTTTGACTTAATATCTCTAAATTATGACATATATCTCAAAATAATGAAAAACTTTCTTAAAATAATGAGCAACTTCTTCAATATTTTGACTTAATTAGCCTATCTCTAATTATGGAAAGTTACCGCCCCCCCCCCCCCCCTCTTAAGAAATCGTAAAGAAATTTTCAATATTTTGACTTTAAATAACGTTCAAATAATTACTCTATGATATTGAGAATAATGTGATCATTCGTGTAATGTTCTTAAAATAATGAGAATGTTTCTCAGTATTTTGACCTAGTAGTATGAATAAGTACTCAGTAATAATAATTTTGAGATGAAGTCATTATTTTGAGAAAGATATTTTGAGTTTAAAAGGCACTAAAGTACTGGTGGTGGTAGAAGTTTAATAAGTTGTAGTAATAGTAATGGTAAAGTAGTAGAAGTAGTTAATAGTTAATAGTACTGGTTAAAGTAATGGTAGCGGTAGTAAAAGTTAGTACTGTTGATTCCATATTTTACTGTATAAATACAAGTTTTTAGATGTTTTTTGTAGATGCTGGTTTTCTGTGCAATTTACAGTCTGTAATATAAAAAAAATGACTATATTCTGTATAAATGCCTTTAAAATGTCTTATGTTTGGTGGCAGAAGGTCAAATAATGCAGTAGTGCTGTATACTGAGTGCAGTGTCCTGTTCCAGCCTGTAGGGGGAGACAGAGACAGCTGTCTGTGAAGGCATGTCGGAGAAAACTGTTGTGCTTAAGTTTGTTTTCATTGCAGCAGTGGAGGAAGAAATCATATCTGGAAGTCTTATTTTATTTATTTATTTTATTGTTGCATCCAGCATGACAGAGAGGACAACGAGTGCAGCAGATTAACACACTTTAGATTAGCAACAACACAAGAAAGATATTTCTTATTGTAAAATATAACAAGGTTGTGTCTGTGCTGCATTCAAGTCATATCAGAAAAACCTGAAAACTTCACGTGTTAAAGGCCTACTTAAAATGAGGTTCGATTTATTTATACATTTAAAGGTCCAGTGTGTAACATTTAGGAGGATCAATTGGCAGGAATTAAATATAAATATTTGTATGTTTATTAATTGTTACTTTAGAACTACAGAGGGAGAGGGTCCACTTCGACGGAGGCCGCCACAAACCAAACTCTGGCTCTAGATCTGCCCTTTTTTGAGTTTTTTTTACGAGTTTCACAGGCTACTGTAGTTTCTCCTACACGCTTGGATGGCGATTGATCTGCAACTTCACCGCTAGCTGCCACTAAATCCTCCACACTGGTCCTTTAAAATGAGCATAGTCAGCTTAAAAGGAACAATCCAACATCTTCTGTCCCACACGGAGTCAGTTACAGAGTTAACTGCAGTAAAGCACGGTTTCACTCACATTCATCAACAAGTTGAATTTAAAATCACTATTCTTGGCACGAGCTATTGGGAATACAAGCAAACATGTAGAGGAGGCTTCATTTCACTGATCCTGGTTTCTTGTTTCGAGAGACTTACTGAAAACAGAGAGATGGAGTTATCTCACATCCTATTAGCTGAGGTTTAAAAACAATTAATAAAATTATGATTATTTTTACTTACCTCTTCATCATCTATCATCCACAACATCACAGGCTCTGCAGCAGAAACACACACACACATTTTTAAGAGAGCCCTCATTGACCGATAACAGATTGACAGATTGAGTCAATATGTTCTTACACAGCCTTGTAGAAACTCTTCTGGTTCATCATCTGCTCTCTGAAGATGGTTACGGCTTTAAACACGTTCATCTGATCCTGGTGTTCCTCTATCACCTTTCTGTACCTGTACACACACACACACACACACACACACAAACACAACAACCTCCTTTACACCACACTCTTTAATTAACACATTATATCTCACTTTTTTTTATATACGTACAAAAAGCAATTTGCTGTTGTACAGGGGGGTTTACAAGTGCTAGACTGCTTCTGACCAGTTGCCATGCAACCAGTGGAGACTCCAGGAAGTAACTGGTCCTGGCCAAGAAATAATCTGACGCGTAAACCCAAAGTAAAACAGAGAACTGTCGTTTTTTAACACTAGAAAAGTACAAACTGACTTTAAGTGCCTAGAATGGGTCGAGCTCCAAAAAATGCTGGATCCTCCAGTTCCCATAATGCAATGCATTAATGTCTCTTTCTCATAACATCATGTGTAAAATCAGTAGAGTTCTGCTTTAAAGTTAAAATCTTTACATTTTTATTTACTGTGTTTATATTTGGTAATTATCTCTGTATTGTTAGTGGCGGAGTCCGCCGTTCACCGTGCTGATGTTTAAGTACTCATTTTTTCTGATAAGTTTGCTTTTATTAGTTACTTGAAGCTATAAGAAAGGGGAGTTTCATGTCATGATTGACAGCTGATAGGGGTAAAGGTAATTTACTGTGAAAGTAGTAATATTTTAAAGTATAAATAAAGCTTTGAATGCAGGACTTTTACTTGAAAATACTTCAATACTTCTTCCTCCACTGGGACTTATTTCATTTTGAATTAAACCCTTTAATTGTACCTGCGTGGAACAACACTAATATTCAGTATATTACAACAGTTAACATGTACCTTTGTGTCCAAGCGACCTCCTTCAGACTCTCTTCTCTCCACTCCTGGTAGAGGCCGCCGGCTTTAACCTTGGCCTCAGACACCAGCAGGGAGCCAGGCTTGAGCTCGGAGAAGAGCTGCTCCCCGTCCAGGAAGTTACGGAGGCAGGCGCGGGCCGACAGAGCCACCAGCCAATAGACCGGCTCTTCCAGAACCACCGAGTGGAAGGACTGGAGGGAGAGGCGGAGCCACTGTGGGGGAGGCGAAGCGAGGAGGCTCTGGGAGAGGAGACATGACAAACTAAAATTACATTTGTTGCACATTCATCTGATTTTATTCTGATCTGCTAATTAGTGACCGAAAATGCTCTTTGTGAGCCGGTCTGTGCGTCTCACCTGGTTTCTGCTGCTGTAGTGTTTAAGTGTATCCAGCAGCAGTGATCTCATGTCATCTGCTTCCTGTAAACTACTTATCAGGGCCTGCAGGAAGACGCAAGACGCTTACATCACCAACCAGTCGCACCAGTTCACCACAGATTGTAAATCCTATTTACAGCACGAAGCAAAAATTTAATTACTCAAATCATTGTTCATAATTATCACACAGGACGGACACGTTGAAACAAGTTGTGGAGAGAAGAGCTGAAAATCACACACTGATGAGACAAGGCTGAGAAGAGAACAGTATTCTTTAGTAAAGAGATAAAGATAGATAGGGCCTTTCTCATTTCTCTAATATGTGCCTCCTCGTCTACTCTGTCCTCTCTCTCTTGTATTAGTTATTTAAAATGATCCGGCCTTCAACGTTTGCATTCCTAAGTAACATTTCACCTTCGTACAGGTGGTTACTTTGGCCTCGACTCCTCTCTGTGTCTCTCCTCCTCCTCCTCTCCTCCCATCTGAAATGGGAGGAGGCGAGCAAAGGAATGGAGGAGAAATGAGAGAGGCCCACAGATAGACAGAAAGAACCTCTGACCTCCAGTGTGCCGCTGACTCTGTGCAGATAGAGCGCCTCTTGCTTTGTGAAGCTGTCGTAGCAGCGCTGCGTCAGCTGACCGGACCGGAGCTCCTTGAGGAAGGAGGACGAGTGGAGGATCTCCTCTGCCAGCACGTCGCTGTAGCCCCACACGACATCAAACACACTCACACTGGGGATGATGCCTGAGAGACAGAGGAAGAAACAGACTCCAGTATCACCAGACTTCAGCTCAGACTCCGGCTGTTTGAGGCACTCGGGCAAAAAAAATAAAAACATAGTGATGCATTTATGATGAAACAGCTTAGTCAGGGTTTGGATTAGCACCCTGGAAGGAACTTCTTTATGTTTTATCTACTGAAAGGGCAGTGGTTCTCAACCTGGGGGTCGGGACACCCACCAGGGGTCACAGAGCCTTCTTGATTTAAATTATTATTTAAGATTTAAACTTTGAAGACCTTAACACAAGTTGTATTCACAGAGCCCTCACTCTCTGATAAACAGCCTCGTAGAAAACACTGTTTTTGTCAAAAAGAAAGCCTATTATGTGTGTGTGATTGTTAAAAATGCATAATACAGACAGAGAATTATCAGTATAACTAATCTCTGATGCAATATTCACAGGAAATAATCTCATAATTGATCCAAATCACTTGTTTTATGATATGAAATATCCATAAAATGTGTCAGTTTACTCAGTGATAGAAAAGGGCTCGTTGGCCTTAGAGAACATTTTGTAGCCCACAACTGTAGTTTCTCCCTCGCACTTGGAAAGATAGAGTGACGTGAGTGAGTTGCTATCTGCAACCGCACTGCTTGATGCCACTAAATCCTCCACACCGGATGTCATACGTACTGGAATGCTACAGTACAGCAGTGAATTCTCTCACCTGGTTCCACTGGTTTGCTCTCCTTGGGGACGACTGTAGAACTGGAGGTAAACAGAGGCGACAACAATTGAAACCCTAATGTTCGGGTTGACAGACAATCGCAGTGACATTCAAGAACACAACAATGAGGAGACAATACCACAAAGAGAGTAAAGAACGGTCACACAGCAGGACTTCACATTTTATTTTCACACATTTGCATTTTTAATCTGTTTCACTGTTTCCTGCTCAGATCTTATCTCTCTGGTTGTTGCTGGGATCAGTTCTCAGATCAGAAAATTGACCAGGTTGAAAATAATTTCCTTAAATGTACCTGATATCTGCAGCCAAGAAGCTACTTTGCATTTATCCCTTTGTGTAAGAAGAGGGTGTGAGGGTTTGGTGGATGTGTATATTACTGTCAGGACATCCTGTAGGCCTTATTGTATTTGCACAAGGCCTATAAATGATGACACAAATGCATTGTTGGATAAACACAAGCTACAGTTTGCCAAATAAAAGTTGACATGCTTGGGTCATGTGATCACACCGGAGGGCAAATCAGTCTCACTCAAGCATATTAAAACGATTCAAAACATACCAAAGCCTGTAATCACAAGACAATCATTCCAAAGTATGCAGTTTTGCAAGGTTACAAACCACACCAACTTTACACCAACCCTACTAGACCCTTTACACTGTTGATGAGAGCAATGGATGCCTGAGTGCTTCTAGATCACGGTGGCTGACTTAGGCCTGTAGCCTATTTTTCGGCCAAACTTGCCCCCCCTGGCTGCTGGTTTACCACGCTGTCTCTGTACTGTAGTGTGTTAAATCTTGCTACACTGTAGAGGAGGATCAGGAAGAACACAATTGTGTTGCTGGGCTTGATGAAGTCTGCTCCCCTCGCATTGATCCTTTTTGTAGATAAAACCAAGTAGGTTATTTTGTCATCACTCACTATGAAGTTGTGAAATCTGGTCTTCTTCTGTCTCACTATTCAGCCTGAACTGCGGAGCTAATTGCTCTAACTGAAGCTTGTAAAGAAGCAGGAGCACTTTGACATCATGACATCATGACAAAATTTGTATATGCTTCTATGCAATGCTGCTTTTAATTAATTTTACAGTTGTGTATTCTACTGTGTATAAAAAAGTACTGTACTATGTACTGTACTTTTGTAAAGACAGTAAAGTATGTCAATGTCTTTTGTAAGGCCTATGAGTAGATCTATAATGTGCTGTAGACACTGTATATCAAGATATTTCAAGTGTTTTTAAACCTCACAGTCTCTCTATCATCTTATTTATTTTTGCTCTTTCGTTCTTTTTTTTAATGTAACCCCAAAAACTGCAGAATAACCACAGCATCTCTACAGCTGTGGGAAAAGACACTGTGGGTTTGTTGTAGGAAAGGCTGCTCACCCACAGAGAACTATGGTCACATACTATTGTTTCGATGGAACAGCTAGAGTCTTAAGACTTAAATATGTTGTGCAGATAAACTGCACAATTATTAACTGATTAAATAAATGACCTGTTATCATTATAGCACTGTGTGTAGCTGCTGCCATTAGCTAGACATTAGAGATAAAGTTGGTGACTTCAAACTGTTTCCTTCTTAAAGAACAACACATCACTGGCTGGCTCGCTAGCTGCAACAAGGGACCCACCAGAGACACTGCTTTATTATTTTATTTTATAACTGAGGACTACTTTGAGCCACAATGAGCTGTCTGTACTTTGTACTGTATTATAATTATACTGAATTATATGCTGTTTTACTAACACTGAATCTGCCCATGTTTAAATGTTGATCTGAGTGACCTGATGAAAATTTGTTGGCTTTTTCCTCTTGTTGAATTGCTACTGCTGAGTGTAAATTGTCAAGCCACACCTAACGCTTGATCAGTCTCAATAGGAAACGTGAGACAGATGCCACAGCTCGCACTGCAACTGAACAGGAAGTTTCACACCCGCTGATCGACACAGATTACACAGGTTGCACACTTAAGAAAGACATTTAGTTTGGCCCCAATTATAAACCCTGCCTACCAAAACATTTCTTTCCCCCATTTTGCCAAGCTGACACAT